CGTCTCCTTGAAGACAACAGCTCTGGTAATTTTAATACAGATTTAAAGCCTATTGCATTGCAGCTTCCGAAAGCTGTGAAGGGCCATTGGTGAAAGGCAGAATCAGGCTCAGCTTGTAACTTCTCCTGTCTTTTTAATATAGTTATTTAAGATTATTTTATCAGGAAATAATCTCTTGAGTTGTGTCATCTCATTTCCAGCCGATTCCTGGGAAATCACTCTGAGGCAGAGTATCAGTGTTGCCTCAAATAATTGCCTTAGGTAGGCAACACACAGCGGAGGAAATGTGCCAAATGTGGTGCGTTTTTTAATTTCCTGTTAAGAAAAGAACAGCAAAAGGTCATTTGATGTGAAAACATGTAAATGTGGTGTGTGGGGAAGGTCATCTGCTGAGTTACATGTGTGTGAGTTCTACCCTGGGGCTGTTTCCTCCCAGCACTGTGTAATGAGCTGCGGTGTTGGCTTGAAACCACTGCAGTGTCCATGCAATGCCTCTTGCACTCAAAGCTTAGATAATGATGATAATAAATCAGTACATGGATGTTTTCTAATGGATGTTTTTTCCCTGTTAAGTCTTTTTTCCCCTGTTCAATATCCTAACCCAGGGGATCATTATTAACCCTGCATTAAGCCTCTTTGATTCCCCATCCTGTGTTTTGCACCCCTGAGGGGAAAAGTGACCTGAGCATGGAGCTGTGCTGGTGGAATACTGAATTTCTGGATGACTTCTGCCTGATCCAACACATTCCTGCCTGTGTTTGTTCATGCTGAAAAGTTTAAAGCATTCTATGTTTTAAAGCTGCCTAACCATTTGGGCTCCTCTGAGGTCCTGCTGCTCTCTAGGTTGCTAAGCTCTTGCAGCTCTGAGTCAAGTGACTCCTAGAAGCCATTAAAAATGTATAAGGGATATGTTAGATATTTATTATGCTGATGCACTCTGTCTGGTGCACTGTCAGACAGGAGGAATCCCAGGCTGGCAGGAGTGGTGGCACGAGGAGTTCCACTGCAGGACACTCACCCTGTTTCTTTCTTGCCTGCTGTGATTTCAGCTGTAGCAGATGTGCTGCAAATGCCACTTTCCAACTCAAACACCATCCAGCTTTGTCCAAAACTGACCAAGAAGTAGAGCTTTAATGCCTTTGGCCATGGAAAACTGAAGGGTAGGAATGAGTTCTGTCCTGTGACTGCTGAGAGGTATTGAAATACATGAAGATACTCCAAGGGCTGGAGCACCTCTACTATGGACACAGGGTGGGAGAGCTGGGGGTGTCCAGCCTGGAGAGAAGGCTCCAGAGAGACCTTAGAGCCCCTTCCAGTGCCTAAAGGAGCTCCAAGAGAGCTGCAGAGGGACTTGGGAGAAGGCATGGAGGGACAGGACACGGGGAATGGCTTTAAGCTGAATGTGGGTAGATTTATATGGGATATTGGGAAGAAATCCTTCCCTGTGAGGTGCTGAGGCACTGGCACAGGTTGCCCAGAGAAGCTGTGGCTGCTCCATCCCTGGCAGTGTTCCAGGCCAGGCTGGATGGGGTTTGGAGCAACCTGGGCTAGTGGAAGGTGTCCTTGCCCATGGCAGGAGGTAAAACTAGATAATCTTCAAGGTCCCTCCCAACCCAAAGCACTCTATGATTCCATGATTCTGCTCTCCATCTGTGCGTGGCTGTGGGGATGGAGATGTTTTGCCACAGTGCAGCTGCCTGGTGTGGCTCTGTCCTGCTCCCTACAGCTCATATTCCCACCCAGCTTATTTTTCAGGCAAGAAAAACCAGTACAAGTTCAGATTTCTTTTTGTCTTGGGCTTTCACATCCATTTTTATTCACATTCTTCTACATAATCCAATCCACTCCTGCCTAGCTAACCTGGGATGAGCAAGGTTGTCTCTGGGCCAAGAGAGCTCTTGATGGAGCTTTGGAAATCAGCCCCATCCCTTTCATTTATTGTACAGGCAAGAGACTAACTCATTTAGTGTTTTGGCATTTGCCTTTGAGCAGGAGATGTTCAGGAGGGATGGAGAGCAGTAACCTACTCACACAGACCTTCATCCCCTTTTGGGCTGCAAGGAAAAATAGCTGCTTGGCTGCAGGAAAAGGCTCATTGCTTATGATTTAGCCATTCTCTGACAGGCACTCCACCTTGAGGGATCTGCATATCCAAAAAGAGATGGTATGAGGAGGCCACCAAGAGCTCTAAGACTTGCACTCACCTAAATCACACTGAGCAAGCCTGAGAAATGTAGAGGATGCAGCTGAATGCAGCAGTGGTTGTGCCTCTGGTAGGCTGAGCTCACTATCAACACCCACTGAAAACTCATGGCACTTATGCTGCCTCTGACATGAAATGCTGAGCTCATCCCTGAACTTTGAAGGTGGTTTTGTTTTGGGAAGAACAGGGACTAACCTTTGTGATCTCTGTCAGCAAATAAGGATCTAAGGGTTCCATTGCTGAGCACATTCATTTTTGTACTGACAGACACTGGAAATGTAACATAAGATGTCTTTTTTTAGGGCAAAGAGGACATTAGGAGCAGCTATAGAGATGCCAACCTACAGCATAATTAATGTGCTGCCATGAATTCCATTTCTTCCTGGAGAACAAGGATTCATTACTCTGTGAAATGGTATTTTGTTGACTTTCTTCACTATTTTTCTTGGCTAACCCAAAAGAAAGAGAAAAGATAAAAGAGTTTAGAAGGTAAGAAGAGTAATGCCTTGCCTAGGGATTGAGGAGCAAGTTGGGAAGTTGGGAATGTCCTGGTTAGTCATGGACTTTGTTAGTAATTCGGTCTGTAACTTTAGACAAATCACTTCATTCCTACTCCATTTCTGCATCTCCAAGTAAGAAACTGCCTTCATTAAGCATGAGCAGTGTCAGGGATGGATTTGAGAAGTGTTTGGAGGTGGTGGGACAGAGAAAGGTGTCGGGGCAGAGAAAGGTGGTTTCTATAGCTGGAGAGGCTTGGAGAGAGGTGTGAGCTGCTCTGCCAGGTCAGTGTCACCTCCAGCATCACCTCCAGTGTGGGACCATGCCTCCTATGCCCATGGCCATTTCTAATACCCTTTGAATTTCACAGTCAAGGCAATTGCCAGGTTCATGGACTGTTTTCAGCTGCACTGCCCATTGCTCCAGCTCCAGCCAAACAAATGGGTGAGATGCTCACTCCCCAACAAGGCTGAGAGAGGTATTCCCTACCTCTGCACCTTCCAAGTGCAGCTGCTACAGTTTATTCAATCTTGAGGAAGTGGTCTGTATATTTTCTTAATATTTGATCATGTTAAAACCCACTAAAATGCATTTAAAGGGCATGGAGAAACCTGAATCCATAGGGATTTTTTTTACCCTACTTTGCTCTAACTTGTATCTACCTTTGGAAGCCTTGGAGTTTAGTTTCCACTGAGGAGTGACTGTCTTTGGGCTGTGAGAGCCATCACTGAGCTCAGCAGTTGCTCCTTTGAGCAGCCAAACTTTCCTGAGCCATAGAGTCAAGCTAATATTACCCTGCAGCTGTGGGAGTGTCATCCTCATCGCCATCCCCACCCCATCCCCATCTGTTTCCTCATCCCCATCCCTTCCCCTACCCCCATTCCC